CCTTGCCCTGCTCAATCTTTTCTCCGGCAGCATTGAAGGTCTCCTCAGCAGCTCCGGTTCCCTAAAAATTGGATATCCAAACCGAAATATCTAGGCCAGTTCGAACGAACCTTATTCCAGCCCTCTACAGCTGCATTCTTGATCTTCTCCGCGGCGCTGGAAATTTTTTCTCCAGCGGTGTCGACGACATCCTGGGTCTTCTTGCCTGCTTCGGCAATAACACCTTCCTCAGCGGCGAAAACGCTAGCAACAATCAAGAGTAGAAAAGCCGCACTTCGACATAGGGTTCTCATACCTAAAAATACAAAATTCTAAAAGAAAACTGAAAAAAGGAATAGCGAAAGGTGAAACGAGCGTGAAACACAGCAAAGCAAAAACAACAGAGGTGTAGCAGTTTGGAGCTTGAGCTAGACTGATGTCTGTTCTGGTGTCTGATGTCTGTCTGATATCTGGCAATATCGATTGGCAAGTTTCGGAATCGATGTACACATTTATATAATATAGAAGTAGATTATATCATTCACGTATCATATCATTCAAACAACAAAGGTGTAGCAGTGTTGGAGCTTGAGCTAAACTGATGTCTGTGTCTGATGTCTGTCTGATGTCTGACAATATCGAATGGCAAGTAAAGAATCGATATACATATTTATACAATATAGAAGTAGATTATATCATTCATTGCTGAGTCCCTTTAACTACTTTGACGTCTTTGATTATCGTCTGTGTCGCATAGTCTCTGTTAGGATCAGCCTGAAAGGAAAGATCAAAAATAATGGGGCAAAATTCAGAGGGGATTGTAGTAATACCTTAGCCTCGGCTTCTCCTCGAGATTCGTGGAACTTGTTGACAATACCGTCTTCGTTGTACTGCTTGTACTCTTTGCGTTCTCCAGCTTGAGTGTTTTTGGGATGTTGGATCTGTTCCTTACCACCAGTATTCGATCCGGCTGCAGCGTTCGGGGGCGAAGTGGGCACTTTTCCTTCCATATCCATCAACAAGGGAGCAACATTCTTTTGTTG